CAATGGCGGCGGCGGTGGCGGGGACGAGGCTGCGCGACGTCAGCTCGCGGGGCAGGCCGGGATTGCCGTTGGCCGTCGCTACTACGCCTGCGCACTACCGCTTCCAGAGTCTGATTTTGCGCTCCGGTCCCAGTGTCGCACTGTGGGGCGGGGCCAGCGAGGATCGGGAGGGTCCAGGCCAAAAGTCTCACCAGGTGCCTGCGTCTGAACTCACTAAACTGGAAGCTGGCAGCGGCGGCCTGTAGTGCCTCTTTCCCTGGGCTACGCCTTCAGAAGAGGCTGCGGAGAGGTTGGCTGGCTTCCCTCGACGGCTCTGTGAGTGCCCTCTGGGACCTGCAGGGAGCTTGCCAGTTTATAGCCAAAGCGGCACGTTAGATTCTGAACCCCAATTTCTTTGCCCAGAATAAAAGAGAATTCAACCATCTTCTCTGTACCCTAGCACAGGCAACGCAAGAACCTTTGGTCTTTGTTGAAGGGTAGACATCTCCGTCTGGCTCCCAGTTCGCCCCTCAGCCCCATGAGGTCCCCAGCCAGGACAGCCCTCTTATCTGGGTTAGCACCCAGCTCCTGCCCTATCCAGCCCTGCCGCCCCAGGGCCACTGCATGCCCTGACTTCTGCGTTGGCTTTTTTCTTTCGTTCTGGCATGGGATGACATCTTCATGAAGCTCAGATCTGAGTCCTGTCTTCATCCTGCTGAAAGACAGACCAGGATGCTGGCTGAGTGTAGGGTGTCGGGCGTGGCAGGCTGGCAAACATCACATGGTCCTCTCCAAAGCAGGTGCAGGCGGAGCACTGTGCACAGTGAACCTGACTGGGGTGGCAGTGGGTCACAGGGAGGCTCCAGTCCTGTGCTCCCAGTTGGGTGTCCCTGAGGCTCTGACCTAAAATTGGGAAATGCCAGCCCAGCACAAAACAAGGAGGCTGCCTAATGCCCCAAGGAAGAATCCTGGGTACCTAGGGGCTTTGAAACATTTGGGCCGTGACCAGTTTGTGCCAAGATGAAGTCCACCCATTTGGGTAGGTCTGAGAGGACAGTGTATGTCACGAACAGTTGTAGACATAGGGAAGACACTCTGGGATCACAGCTGCCAGCAGGCTTACTGAGGGCCAGTGCCTGCCGCCTGCCCTTGTGTGGGGAGGATGAGACACTTGGAGAGAGGCTTCATACTGCTTCCCAGGAGCCTGGGCACTCAGCCATCTTGCAACCTCTGCCCTCCTCCTCCCAACTTTTGTTTGTTTGGGGGACAGAGTCTCGCTATATAGTCTAGGCTGGCCTTGAACTCACTACATAGCCCAGGTTGGTCTCAAACTCACAGTGATCCTCCTGCCTCAGCCTCCCAAGTGATGGAATTACAAACATGTGCCACCCCACCTGGCTGCGCTTGGGGCCCCGCGGTTATGAGTTCAATGGCTTGGCTGGTCGACAGTGCCTGTGCAGGGCCACCTGAGCATAACTATCAAGTCTCATCTCCCCTTGCCCTGGTCTCCATCCCTGCGCTGTTGCCTCCTTTACGTCCAGCAGAGGGAGCTCTGGTTCAGGAGTTAGGATCCAGCTCTCAGCTCCCAGCTGTGATTTGGCTGTTTGCCTCACTGGAGGCTGCAGACAGAAGGGAGTGCCGCTCCCAGGGATGCCGCTCCTGGGCATGCCGTCACTGCTGAGCTGTGATGCCCAGTGCTACTAGTCTGCACAGCCACTGCACACTTGATATTGGGGGACTGCGTTTTCAACTTTAGTTTTAACAAAATTCAAACGCCCACAGGTGGCTCTCGGAGGTCTCTCCGATAGCCCAGCCCCAGCCCCGGCAGTGCCGCTCAAGGGTGGCCCTCGCAGCCCTGCAGCAAGTGGAGCATGTCTGGCCCCAGGCCAGAGGAACTCGCGTCTACCAGGCAGATTAGGGACAAGATTCTGGGTGCGCCTGGTGGTCGGTGGGGACTGCAAGTCCCTGTGCTGCACTCACTCTGCAACTCTTCCTCTGCAGAGTGGGCACGGCAGCAGCCAAGGCTTCCGCCTCCCTCCCTCCCCAGCCCCCGGGCCCTGGAGCTCCGGGATCCATCCCTGCCTGAGGCTGAACCTAGGCTGGATTGGGGCCACAAGCTCACAGCAGGGTGGTTGGTGGACATTGCAAACAGAATGGCACTGCTCCCCGGCCCCAGAAGCCCTGTCAGGAGCCCTTGCTCTAACCCTGGCCCCAGGCAGCCTCTATCAGTTTCAGGGCCTCAGGGCTCAGGGGAGGAGCCAGAAGGAGCCCAGCTTGAAGAGCCCAGCCAGGCCACTCACACCCAGAAAATTCAGCTGACACAATGGAGCCACATCGACAGCAGCCACTGCAGATGCCCAGAGGTGCAGGCCTGACAGATGCACTCAGGAAAAGCAGTCCAACTGTGTCCCACAGTCAGACTCACATCCTAACCTCGCTGGCCCAGTGCAGTCCAGTCTGCCTTGCTCCTGCCTTTCCTGCTCGCCCCCTGCTGGACCGTTGCGGCTCTGTCGGAGGCTCTCCCCAGCCCTCAAGGAGCAGGGATGACCAGTGCTTCCCCTGGGGCAGGACGTCCAGGGTCCGAGGCCCTCAAGAGCACTCAGTATCCACACCAAACCCCCCCACTACGCTCGAATCCCAGGCTGTCTGAGGGTTGCCATGGGGGCTCAGGTGTTCTCAGTAGCACGGCCTGTCCTCCACAACAGTTCTTGCTGTGCTCTTGCCCCTCCCTCCCATAGGACTGTGCCACCCCCTGGCCCTGCACTCTTCTGTGGCTCTTCAAGGCACCAACTTGGCCACTGCAGGCATCAGCAGGGAGCACAGCACAGCCAGCCAGGCAGGCACTGCAGAGGCTGCCACTGAGAGTGTGGGGATCCCAGCCGGGGTGTGGCAGGCCACCTCTGGGTGCTGACTCCTGCCTGTCCCTTGCTATGCCCTTACCAGCCTCAGAGCCCAGGCGCCTTCCCAGGGACTCACACATCTTCCCAGAGCCCTGTGGTCCGTGTAGCCCTTGTTCTGTGAACACAGGTCAGCATCTCCTATGTCAGCTCTCAGACCAACAAACAGAAGAGAAGGGAGTGGCTCAGCTCCTCCAGCAGGGATGCAGCCCCATCCAGGAGAGGCATGGACCCCGCTGCCTCTCGTCACAGCCCCCACTCACCACCGTGTGGGCCCCTGAGGTCCCCTTCCAGGGAAGCAGGTCGAGCAGAGAAGCCTGGAGAGGGCAAGACCTGCAAGGGCAGGTTGGAGCTCCAGCAGGCTCTTCCTGCAGATGGGCAGGAACCCCAAGATCCCTGCAGTGCCAGCAGGGAGGCACGGCCTGGCTGGGCAGGTGAGGATCCCAGACCCTAGGAGCCTGGCAGGGCATGGGGCCTAAGCAGCCCAGCTGTACTCTGCTTTCCTGGGTGACCTTCGACCTCTCAGCTTGCAGCAAGCCCAGCCTGCCTCCTGTGCCTCAGTTTCCTCACTGTGAAATGGTGCTGAGTTCCGTGTCTAACTCAGAGGGCAACTGTGAGACCCCATTTGAGTCTTATGCTGTGCATGGAGAGCCAGGATTGGCACAATTTGAGTTAGGGCCCTTCCAGGGTCCCCTAAAGCAAAGTAGCATCTATCTGAAAGAAAATCTGCCCTCCTCTTAGCTCCCAGCATTTGGACCCTCTCAAGCTCTGGTTCAGCCCTGTCTCTTATTCCAGATTAATCTCAGGCTTTCCCAACACACCTCTGAAAAAGTTGAGACTAGTTTATACTACAGTGCTAATGATTCATAGAGCATTGCTGGAGACTCTGAGGGTGATGCCTCAGGCCTTGAAGATGTATTTCTCTGGAGTTCCCTCCTGAGACCCCAGCGTAGCACAGCAATATGTCTGGCTGGTCTGCCCACGGCCCTGGGGACTTGGCCCTGGCCACCTTCAAGGAGAACTAGAATGAATTCAAATGACACCACATGCAGCTTCAGAGCAGGAATTTGTTCGTGTGGCATGCAGCTGTGGGGCAATGAAGCTGCCAGGAGGGTGTGTCCAGGAGAAGGGTATCTTCACCTGCCTCAGTGGGCTGGCTCTCACTTGCCCCCCAGCCCCTGTGATGGCAGGATCTCCCCTGGCTGCAGCAGCAAAATCCCGTGGATCCGGGCAGCCTGACCCAGGAACCCCCTTCCTCAGGTGTCTCCTCCCCAGAAGCCTGGATGGTCAGGTCTCTCAGGACAAGTGGTCTCCATGAGCCCTCTGGGTTCCCGTGGGGCTTCCTTATCTAAAACCTGAGGTGCAACACAGAATGAGACACTAGGCAGACAGCACAACCAGTGTGCAGGGCCGCCTGAAAGCACACAGCAGGCAGAAGGGGCGGAGGCATCTGCCTTCCATGCTGAAGCCTGTGTAAATTCAGAGCTGGAGCTGTGCTGGCCACACCTGCTGCTCCGACTGCAAAGCCCCGAGGCTACACCAAACCCAGGGATATGCTGGGGCTCCCCACAGAGCAGGTCCCAGTGGGAGCTTTTGCTCTATGTCCTCCATGTTCCTAAGATTTTTGGAATGTACATGTAACAGGTATTTGGGGCTCCCTGCTTTTTAACTGTGCGAGCACCACGTGGACATTCTAGTTTCAGGAATTTCGAGCACGGCCACAACTGGCAGAGGCTGCAGTGTCTGCCTGGCTTCTCCCTCTCCTGTGTGGAGCCCTTGATGTCTTGGAGGAGCCTGGACTCATTGTGCCTTCTGCTCCCCGTCGAGGCAGGCACTGTGGCTGACCAGATGGACCACCAGCTGGCACCCAGGGGCTCGGCCTGTCCCAGATCACACAAGGCATCTGCTGAGGAAACAGGGCTGTCATCCACCACTGCCCAGCCCTGGGACCTGCTAGGCCTGGGGAGAGGCTGTACTGCAGCTGCCTGAGTGTGCGTGAATGTATGTGTGTGTGTGTGTATGTGTGTTTTACTGAGGGTTGAACCCAGGGCCTTTGCAGGAGCTACACCCTCGGTTCTTAACAAAACAAACTTTTTTTAAAATCTGGAGACAGGATCTCATTAAGTCATGAAGTTACCCAGACTGGGATGAAATTTGTGATCCTTCCGCCTTAGTTTCACAGATGCTGGTATTACAAGTGTGCAGCACCCAGCCTGGTTTGTTTGGATACTTGTGAAAATAAATAAGGTAAAGCCTTTCCTCTGGATGCTGCTCAGCTCTGGCTGTGTTCCAGAACCCAGATGTCACCCTACTCACGGATCCCCACTTCACCACCTTCTCCAGGCCGCTTCTCAACTCTTGCCCGCTTCCTGCTTCCCTCCCCTCCCTTCCACAGTCTTGCAGAATGTGCTACCCACTGAGCTCCACATCCCAGGGAAGGGTGGGCCCTGGCCATGGCCTTTTTATTTAGTTCCTTGTGGACACCTTCGGGACTATTTGCCTGAGGTCTCTCTTTCTGAACAGTGCCACCCACTGTCACAAGAGCCTCATGCTCTGCGTGCCCTCAGCGCTCCCTTGTGCTTAGCCCATAGCTTGGGAGGAGTAGGGCTCCTAGCTGAGCACCAGGGGCTTCATCCTGTGGGCCTGGGGTTCTGCCAGGGTGAATGCTTGATACAGGGCAGTTCGCAGTGTCTAATCCAGGCCTTGAAGGGTCAGAATGGCTTTTGTGGATTTCCTGGTGGGGCTGCCTGCCCCTGGCAGCAGGGCTACGGCCTGTGGCTCCAGCCACCCCAGGGCAAGACACTCAAGTGGGGGATCCTCCTCCTCAGGAAACAGCCAGGTCCTGCTGTGGATGGAGATGAAATGCCAGCACTGCCCAAGGAGACTGGGAATGCGGTTTCCTGGCCATGCTGTGTGGCTGGTTCCCAGGTGACGTGAGCACTTCCTGGTGGCCACCTGCAGAGTGCAGGGCAGGCAGAAGGCAGCAGTGTCCCAGGGCTGAGGGAAGGTGTTGCTGGCAATGGTTGAAGTTGGAGGTCCGAGGGGTGGCGTTAGTTGCCATCTCACTTACGAAGGCCTGCAGGCAAAGTGGGAGTCAGAGAAACTCTAGCCAGGAGAAGGAAGTGCTGGGTCCCCTCCTCTGGAGAAGCTGAAATGCAAATGGTTTCCTGGCCTTTGGCAAAGGGGCCAGGGGTGAGTGTTGGAGACCAAGACCCCTGTGCATGTCCACCCTCCGTGTGTGCCCCTCCACCCTGTGTGTGTGTGTGCCCCTGATAGGAACTTCATACCCTCCTGGGGACATTCTGACCCCTCCTGGGAACATTCTGGCCATGCCCTACCTTATCTAGCTAGACCAGCCTAGGTTAGGTAACCTAGCAACCAGGAAACTCCCTGCTCATCCCTGCCTGCATAAAAGCTGCTGTGTGAGAAATAAAAATTGTCAAAATTTTGACCACTAAAAGAGCTCTGTCTGGTTCCTGTCTTCCTGCGTCGTTCCCGTTCCCGTTCCGGGTGGTCCCCTCCTCGAGCCCTACTAATAACGAACCCCGCTGGCCGGGGCAGGTGAGGAGCAGGACTCGTGCTCCACCTCGCATGCTAGGGTCTTGACTTCCGCTGACTCCAGCTGCAGACATCTCAACAGGGTTTGGGCCAAAGGGTCAGCACCCAGGCTCCCCACTGCAGGAATACCTAGTCTGTGCCATCAGCAAAGTCTGCCAGGCCCGCCACAGCCCGAGTCCAGGATGGTACCCACGCCCTCCACCCATGGTCAACGCTGCGGCTGCCTGCCCTGACTCAGGGCCTGCATGGGGCTCCTGCCCTCCTGAGTCTTCATGTCCTCATTCGTTTGTCCTGGGAGCTGGAGTCTGGCTACCTTCTGAGGACCTTTGGACGAGGCAGGCCTTTACTCACAGGAAGGCTGGAGGCTGTCAAGAGGGCAGCCAGGGGATGCCACAGAGGGCTTGAGCGGCCAGGAGAAGGCCACACTCCTGACAGAAGAACCACCAGACACCTCTTCTGACCTCAAACTCCAGATCTGCTCTAACATGGTTGCGTAGCCAAGGCTATATTAGAGAGCCGGTCAAGAGCCCACCATCCCACCGTGGTCTGAGATCTGCAGAGCCATAAATACTAACTTCTAGAAAAAAGTCAGATCCCCCAAAAATAGGACCAGTGTTTGCTGCTGTGGTGAAGCTCCTGGAGAGTCACTCAGCCACACCCCTGGGAAGGGACCTATCACCACCCCCACGTCCAGACCTGGGACTGGGCCCCAGCAACTCTGTCACTGCTGCCTCCAATCCAAGCTTAGGAGGAAGGACTAAGTCCTAGGGCTTCTTGGTAAATAGTCCTGGGTACTCAGTCCTGGTAACTAACTCAGCCAGGTTGATCTTAGGGGAGGTGGGTGAATGACAGATGACAGAAGGACAGATGGGCAGACAGACAGACAGATGCCTGGAGAGACCACTCAAGGAGAGAAGCCTCATGCTATGAGTGCCCCATCGGCCAGACCAGTCATGGAGCACGCTCAGCCGACCATACTTACAAATGCGCCTGCTTGCACAAGAGGTTGGATGGCTTTTCATTAACATGGTACAGAGGAAATGGATCAAATCCACCAATGAAATCAACTGAAAGAAATCAAGACCCAAATAAAAGAAAACCCAAACAATGGAAAAGATGGCAGAACAGAAAACAAGCCCAATGCCCCCCCACCCGGGCAACAGGGAGCTCCACAGGGTGAGGAGGGCAGGCACACCCCAAACCAGCCCCGGTTGGACCTTGGACCCTGGGAGGACTCTGCCAGGCACTGACTGTGTGGCGTCCTGGCTGTAAAAGCCTCCAGCAGGGGATGGGGAGGACAGCCCAGGATGGGGCTACACCTCACCTGCCAGGCTCCTCCAGGCCCCTCCTGTCACTTTCACAGACACAGTCACCTGCCCTCCCCTGGAGGCTGCTTGCCCCATAGAGAGCGGCAGGGGCTTACTGAGCAGTTAGTGCACTTCTGAACCCAGGGCCAAAGCTTGTCTTGAAACATTCTTAGCACCATCAGCATGCAGGCCCACTCTGCTTCCTCCCTGATGCCAGCTGCGCTCTGCTGGGCCAGGCAGCACAGGGGCTGAAGGGTGCTGGGCAGAGTCAACCGCCCTAACCCTAAGCACAGACCACTCTGGGTTTCTGTTCCGACCCTGGCAAAGGTTCCATCCACAGGGCCCGCAGGCCTGTGGGTGCCCAGACCTGTCCTGGGCTCTGTGGCCCTGCACCCTGACCTGTCCTTTCTCTGCAGGGTCCTCCTGAGATGCAGGCATTACCATGTCATGTTGCAAATGGGAAGTTGAAAGCAGCTCACAAGTGGAGAGAAAAGAAAATGCACCGCAGTAGGCTTCCTCATACTACGGGCCTGACGTGATCATCTGTGGCCAGCAGGACAAGTGGCTTGTGCCATGGAGGGCTCAGACCTTCCTCTTGGGATGACTGTGAATGTTACTAGGACAGGCCTGGCCCCAGAGGACAGCAGCCTTGAACCCGGGGATGGCTGAGCTCTGAAGCCCACGGTGCAGAGCCATCCTCTCTTGAGGTCTCGGACTGTCCCCTTTGCTCAAGCCTATGGCAGGGAGTGAGTCCCCCAATGGCATAGAGACACTGCTGAAAGGAGGCCTCAGGCCGTACAGGACAGAGCCAGAATTGACACCTGGCTGTCCCCCCCACCCCGCCCCGCCAAAGGCTTGGCTGTGTCCCAAACAGGTGTCAGCAGGAGGCCGTGGCTGCACTTACAGCTGTCCTCTTCCTCTGTAAGCACGCTGACCACATAGCAGCTGCAGATGAAGCCCAGGAGCTGGAAAACACGGAGAGGCCACAGTGAGCCTGCTGGGCATGCTTAGGGCAGCACCGTTGCAGGCATGAGAGGAGTACCCTTGAATCCCTGAGCATGAAGGCCCTGCTTCTCCTGGGCCTGTTTCTTCCTCTGTGAGATGGAACAGCAGACAGACAGATCTGTATGGCTCCTGAGTTCTCAGCCCAGGCAGCTTCTGACCCTGACCCACTCTGAAGATATTGGAACGTCTCTCGCCTGGCCTATATAGGCATATAGGCCAGGCGAGACCCGCTCGGCCTCTGATGAGAGGGACGCAGTCAGGCTGACAAGCAAGGCAGGGCTGGGCCAGAACCTGGTGGCACACAGGACAGCAGCTGCATGGCACCACCACCACAGCTGACCAGGTCGCCCTGGCAGGGACCTCAAAGGCCGCCTCTGCCCGCTGTCATGAGAGAAGAAGATAGCCTTTTCCACACAATGTGGAAGCTTTTGAGAGATGCCCAGAGCAAACAAGGTCACACCCACGCCATGCCCAGAAGGTCAGGCCTGCACACTCCAGGGCAATGTGTCCAAGTGCTGCCTCTCATTCCACATCCTGCAACCTGCCCCTGGCCCCAGAAGCCTGGCTAGCCGTGTGCACCAATGTAGTTTCTGATGAGTTGGCCCTGGGGAGCCCAGCAGGAAACTGCAGGGAGGGAGACACAGGCCACTTCCTGCAGCAGCCCCTACCCAGCACAGATCCTGGTGCTGGTGACTCAGGTTCCCCTCAGGCCCGGAGGAGGGTGCCAACCCCCACCCTGGCACCACGCACATACGGCCCTCCCATAGGCTTGGTTTGTCTCACTGCGACCCCAACTGACTCAGGATACAAGAGAGATTTTAAGGGGTGCTGGCTGGGGAGAGGATACAGGGATCTTGAAAGGGCAGAGGTGCCCTCCATGGGGCCCCACAGCCGAGGAGGGGCCTGCTTTGCAAAAGCACAGAAGAAGGTGGCCACTCTGGGGACCTCATGATTGCAGGCCATCAGGAAGGAAGACTCCTGGGTACAGATCTGGCCCTTGCAAGTGGCTCCGGGGGTTCACTGGCAGCCCTGGGGCTACAGCAACTGTGGTACCAGGAACACTGGGCCAGACCACCATGGCTGCACACTTGGTCCCCAAGGTCTGACCATGGCCAGACTGTCCTCAGGACTGCAGCTCGGCGCGAGGGAGACCAGCCACCAGCCCAGTCCCACTGAGCTCCGGGAGCACAGCCTTGCCTTGCTTTCTCCCCAGGCAGATGGGAACTTCTGGGTTGATGTCATCCAAGCCCCTACACCTCTGGGAGTAGGAAGCTCCAGACCCACCAGAGCAGGCCCAGTCCTCCAGGCCTCCCTAGGAACAAAAGACAGCACCAACAGGCTCACTCTGCAGCCACACTGGCTGGCCTGGGGTCTCTACCTCTTTCCCAGCCCCACTGATGTCTGCCTTAGAGGTGGCCAGGCTCCTCCCCTGCCCATGCTGCCTCTGGAGAGGACACAAGGATGCCCAGGGCTGCTATCTGAGGCCTGCCTGTTGTTTATAGCACCATCAGAAAGGAGGCTGGGGTTGAAGCCCCATGGTGCAAGCCCACCTGAGAAGTCTCACCCTGGCCAAGAGAAAGGCTGGTTCCTGGGCACACAGCAGAGGCTCTGGCCCCACTGGGTAGGATGAGGCCCCCACTCCATGTGTCTGCTCCCTCTGCCTCACTCACCGCCAACAGGATCTGCAGGCCACTGTGTAGGGCCTCCACGAAGCTGGGCTCCAGAGCACAGCCAGCACCCGATACCAGCGCGCGGCTGTGCAAGGCCCTGAGGCCAGCTGAGGACGTCCCCTCATGCAGACAGCCCGGCCCATGCTCCTGCCACCAGGAGTGGTGCTGGGAGAGGTTGAAGGTTAGGAGCTCACTGTCCTGGGGACAACAGGGCAGAACAGGTCAGCACGGGGAGGCAGCCAGTCCCCGCACCATGGCCCCTCAGGCTCCAGCCCTCAGCCAGGACTGGCTCTCACGGTGACCCAGCCCCCAGCTCCGCCTCCAGCCAGAGCTGCCCCTTATGTGCGTTCAGGCTCCTCAGCCTTCCCACTGAGGCTCCAGTGTAGCCCCACAAACCAGGGCTGTCTGTCCTGCTGAGCACCTGTGTTGGCACCAGTCAGAGCAGAAAGCAGCAGGAACTCCATGCCACCCTGGGGCCACGTGCAACGTGCCTGGAGCAGCTGGCTACCAACACCGGCTTTGTGAGCCCTGAGGTTTGCCCACGCAGCCTAGCACAGGCTAGGGCAGTGGACACATTTTAGAGGGTGGGGTCTGCACTCTGCCCGCATCCTGGCCCTGCTAGGCAGGCCTTTCCCCCACCCGTGCAAGGCCCCTCTTCCAGGAAGCCTTCGTGGTGGGTGGTGCAGCCGGAGGGCCCACCCTGCTGACACCCACAGCACCCTGCCAACACCTCACTGACCCACACGTCACTTCCCCACTTGCCACTGACTGTGACCAGGGTGGCCCAGTGCTGGGGACAGAGCTGTGCACTTACCGAGGCCCCACCGCCACGGGGAGACACAATGAACACACACATCCAGTGTCATGCAGTGCCTGCTCAGGGGGCCCCATGACTCACCCTGATCTTGACTCACCCTGGCGAGGCCCCCCACTTCCAGGTAGAAGCAGATAATGAAGATGTTCCAGGTAACCCAGACAGCTGCCCACACAGCATACTACGGAGATGAGAGAGGAGCAGAAGTCGAGCCCAGCAGTCTGGGACCTGCTTTTGCACAGCCCCTCGGAGAAGATCCACAGCAGGCTCAGGGCTCCCCCAGTCTGACAGCCCTGGGCCACTCGGCTCAGAGGAGATTTCCCCAAGCCCACCCTGGACAGACCCCAACACTGCCGCCCAAGAGACCACGAGGTACAGGACATGTGGCCTGCTGGAAGGAGTTGGCCTGTGTCCTCACCCATGGGTGCCCTGTCCGCCTGCAGTGGATGAAAGACGAAAGACTGACTGGCCCCAACTACAGAGCACCCAGAGAGCTGCCTGCTTCTCCAGGTGAAGTTTTCTCAGCCATGCACTTGTCAGCCACAATACTTGTCCAGTGCTGCTTCGGTGAGGCGAGTGGCTTCAGCAGGGACTGTGCAGCCCTCAGGGCTGAGCAGCACTGTCAGGCCCTTTGCAGGGAAGGCTGCTGCGGACCTGGCCCAGAGCCCCATGGTCGGCATCCAACAGTGTGCTGACCACCCCAGCCAGGCCTCTGCTCGGAGGCAGGCCACACAAGGGGCAAGGCTGGGTACGCTGGGGCCACAGCCGCCACTGGCCACTGGGCAGATGCTCAGTGCCTCAGTATGTAAGGCAGGGATCATAACAGCACCCATATTCCCGGCTACTGGGGAGACAAACTCATGAAAGTGTTAAGGGCTTGGGCTCCCTGACGTAAGAGGCTGCTCCCAGAAGTGCCCTCAGAAGTGCCATGTCGTCCAAGTCAGAACTCTACACATCCAGGCTGGGGAAAGTCTGAACCCCTGGTCTGCATCAACCTGTGTTATGGTGGCCTCAAGGACTACAGGACAGGACCGTGTTGTGGGACACCCCCATCCTGGTCACCTACCCACATGGACTCACCACCACGATGTAGCGCGGCCGGTACTGGATGGTGCCAAAGAGCCCCAGAATGACCACGACTATGTGGACAAAGTTGGCCAGGATGGGCGCCCACTGGTAGCCCAGGAAGTCGAACACCTGCCTCTCCAGGATGGTGACCTAGAAACAGAAGGGGAGTGAAGGAGAGCGGATGCTAAGAGTGGCCCCAAACCTAGCCAGCAGGCCCTAGGGTCCAGGGGCAGGCTGGGCCTGACTCTCCTAACTTCTCCTTTTGGCTCTATTGGAGAAGCCATGCCAGGCAAGCCGCAAACTCCAGCTTAACTGTCACTGTGGAGCAGGCCCGGAGCACCTACGGCTCGTCCCTTCCAACAAAACTCTCCAAGTAAAGTCAGGCATAGAAGCAAATGCCTATAACTCCAGCACTCAGAAGGCTGAGGCAGGAGGATCCTCACATGTTCAAGGCCAGTGCAGACCACAGTGAGACCCTGTCTCAAAAATACAGAAATAAAATAATCAAACTAAACAAACAACTCCAAATAAGTCTGTCAGGCCCTGAATGTCACCAATGGATGTTCTCCTTTGAGCAGCCCTCCCCACCCTGCTGTTCTAGCTTATAGGTGGCAGGGACAAATAAACAGGAAGTACTAGCCCCCAAATGCCCCTCAGGTGCTCTGGTGTTAGATGAGACCCTGAATCTGCACAGGGTACCAGGCCCACTGTTTTCAGGTGAGCGGCCTCTCCCACTTGCCAGCTGCTTTAGGGGCAGCAGCAAGTGAGGCACTCTGTGTACCAAGAGACCAGCTGAACCTTCACTTTGGGGACACACGGAGACCCTTCGACTCTGGAGACAGCACCCTCCAGGGAGGTTGACAGAGGGACCAAGGGGAGGGAATGAAGGAATCCAAGGAATGCAATGTTTCATATCCGGAGGAGATGAACTGACTCTGAGCAAATCCAGGACTCTGAGGCATCCATCCACTGACCCATCTCTCCACCCACCCATCCACTCACCTATTCACCCATCCATCTTTCCATCCACTGATGCATCCATCCACCCACTCAGCCATCTACCCATCCATCCACCCATCCACCCATCCATCCACCCATCCATCCACCCATCCATCCATCCACCCATCCATCCACCCATCCATCCATCCACCCATCCACCCATCATCCATCCACCCATCCATCCA